TAATTTTAATTTTGCGTATAAATGGTGGAGGTTCTTGTTGTTACACATCTAGTTTGTTGTTGAATATTGATTTGTCGAGTCAATGGAATTATTTATTTTATTGGTGTATATTTAAGATTGCTGTTAATTATTTAGAGTGATTGTTGTTAATTATTTCTGGTCTGTTATTTTTTTTATTAGTTATTTTTTGTTTTAATAGAAAGAAAGATTTTTGGTTATTCACAATCCCGCGTTGGACCAAAAAAGGTTGCACTAATGGGAGTTTTGCAGAGATTGGCTGACTTCTTAAAGTTGTTTGGTAATTTTGGGGTTTTAAAAAATTACTATAAGAGTTTGGGCTATCGAGGTCTTTTTTATAATCTAAGTTTATTTATGTTTGTTTTATCTTGATTTTTTATTGGTTTTTTCTAAAAATATTAGGGGCATGATTGCTTATCCAATAATTTTTGATTCTGTTTTGTGTGAGTGTCAGCGCTCACCTTTTGATTTTTCTGAATATGAAAACGACCTAGTTTGTGGGTTTAGAACGGATTAGTATGGGCTATCTTTTGCTATAATATCTGCTTTTGAATATGCAATAATGGCTTTTTTGGTTGGTTGATTTCGGTTATCTTTTGAGGTGTGGGTTTTGAGATGTGGTTTTTTTAAACACACATTTTTTTAATTTTTGTTTGTTCTGTTTTTCCGCCGAATTGTTATGACTATTTTGTTTCATTAATGTGAAAGATTGCATTGTTGGTTATGTTGTTGTTAGTTGTTTCAGGACTTTGTTTTGTTTATATAGATTAATTTTAGATTGTAAGGCTGTTAACCCTAAGTTGATACGTTGATTATCTATAAGCGTTTTGTTTGTCTGATTCTAGTTAAAATATAAAGTGTATTTTGGGGATATAGGTTTTTCTATGAAATAATTAGATGTTTTTGATAGGGCTGCAAATAGCAGGTTACTCTGATATAGTTATTTATGGGGATTATTCTTCCGTCAATAGTGTTGTTGAATAGTTTATTTTCGTTTGTTGGTATTTTAACATCCAAAACAACAATATATTTTTTTCAGTTTATGAACTCCTATGAGTGTGCATTCAAATCATTTGGGGTGAGAGTGAGAAACTTTAAGTTGAGTTTTTTACTATTATTGGTCTTTTTTGTTGTTTTGGATGCTGAAATATTTTATTGCTAAAAATGGGTCTGTCTGATATTTTTTGGAGATCATCAATTTATTATTTTATTTTTTTAACTGTTGTTATATTTAGGTTTTTTTATGAGATAAATTATGGCTTTATAAAGTTTGTTAAATATGGTGGAAACTTTTCTTGTTACTGCTAATAACATATCAAGATATGTGGGATATCTAATTTCCTTGGATTTATAAGTTAAGTTAAACTATTTGTTTTCAAAACAATAAATAGACACTAGGGTCCTAAATTTGAAAATGAAAAAGTTTTTATTTTGTTTTCTTTAAATCAAAAAAAGATAGACATTTTTATTTATTTTTGGGCATGTGGTCTGGTTTTATAGGATTAGGATTGAGTATGATAATTCGTTTAATCCTAATGAGTCTATATCATAAAGTTATTTCAACTAAGTTGTATAAATTTACGATAACTAGGCATGGCATAGTTATGATTTTTTTTCTTGATGTCTGTTTTAATTGGGGGTTTGGTAATACATCATTGCCAATATTTACACGTCAGGGTGATATGAAGCTTCCTCGAATTAAATCTTTTAGTCTTTGTATTTTGATACCATCGATGATAAGGTTGTTAATTAGTATGTATTTTGGCTCGGGAGTCGGTTGAACATTCTATCCACCCTTCTCTAGAAAGTATTTTTCTGGTAGAGGGTTGATTATATGCTAATCTCGCTTCACTTAGCGGGCTTACCTATGATCTTGGGTGCATTAAAATTTATTATAACTTGCAAGTGTTATTTTTATTCAACTTGTTCTGGTTTAGATTCTAGGTTGTATATAGACTGGGTACTTCGTACGCCAATGTTTGTGTGGTGTTATTATTTTACTTCTTTTTTATTATTTTTATCTATTCCAGTTTTGGCTATGGCCATAACAATGTTGCTCTTTGATCGTAAATTTGGGACATCATATTTTGTTGTGCTGGGATTTATTGTTTGAGCCCATCAAATGTTCACAGTCGGTATGAGTATAAAGAGAATATCGTTTTTTAGTGCTGTTACAGCCTTACTTGGTATACCAACGAGTGTGAAGGGGATTTCGTGGGTATCCATTCTAACCACAGGGTCGGTCGGTTTGGGGGATCCCGTTTTTTGGTCGATTATTTCGTTTATTATATTATTTACACTGGGGGGAATAACTAGAATAGTGCTGTCGGCTTCAAGCCTGGATGTTAGTTTACTAGATTCGTGATTTTTAGTTGCTCATTTTCACTATGTGTTGCCGCTTGGTTCTTATAGGACTGTTGCTATTGGAATATTGTGGTGCTGACCGGTTTTAATTGGTTATAAGATTTCCAAGTTATATGCTCAGGCCCATTGTATAGTTTCAGCGGTTGGGTTTAACTTTTGTTTTTTTCCAATGCATTATTTTGGGATGTGTGGTCTACCACGTCGAGTTTGTGTTTATGATTCATCTTTTTATTACATGAATGGTGTGTATACTCTAGTTAGATTTTTGTCTTCGTTTAGTGCTTGTTTTTTATGTATATTTTGTGAAGTTCGTTGGTGGAACGAGATTTGGTTGTAGGTAGATTTCGCAACAGAGGATGCATTATTGAAATAATGTCTTGGACTATGACGTTTCACACTACGTTTCATTGTAAAAGCATAGAAACATTATTTGTTATTAGTGAGAAGTAGCATGAATAATATCAGTTTGTTAGTATACTATCTTTCCAAGTTAGGTGTTTGAATTGTCATTTGGTGTATCGTACTTAGTCTAAACTTAGAATTGTGATTTTTCAATTCATAAGTGATTGATTTGATCAGTGTGTTAGCTGTTAAGCTGTGTGTTATTTTTTTGGGTTTTGTTCCTTTTGCATTATGATAAATCAAAATATTTAAATTATTTTTATTTTTAAAAATTAATATATATAATCAATTGTTGTTTTAGAACTAAAAAAGAAAGATTCGGTATTTAAAAATAATTGCTTAACTAAGAAATTTTATTTAATGTTAATTATAGCTTATTATGGTATTATATTTTGATTAAAGCACCGCTGGGTTAGATTGTTACGTGTTCATTATACAGCATATTGGGTTAGAGGCACCTAGCAATAAAAAAGCGTTAAAGCTTAAAAACTTAAGATATGCAATTGATTGTATTGTACCATATTTTAAATAATTTACTTTTTATAATTTTTTAATTAGTAATTAATAAAATGTGTATTTTTTTCTTCTTGATAGGAATAAGAAGTAGTGCCTGCTCAATGTATTTAATATAAATAGCCGCATTAGCATGGGTGTGCTAAGGTAGCATAATTAATTGCTTTTTAATTGGGAGAATGTTTGAATGGTTTAATGTAAGTAACTAAAAATATATACATTTGATTGAATTTAACCTGGGGGTACAGAGGCCTCTGTGTTTTAATAAGACGGGAAGACCCTAGGAATTTTACAGTTGTGTTGTCTATTTGGGGAAAAAGCTTTTTTT